GGCCCTCGGGCTGGGTGGTCGCTTGTTTAGAACATCCCTTGGGGTGGGCAGGTTGGTCGATTACTCACGCCCTCGGGCTGGGTGGCCCCCTGTTTGGAACATTCCTCGCGGGTGGGCAAGTGTGAAAACGGATTCCCCACGACCAAGACCTTGGAGCCTGGTGAGAAGATACGAAGATCAGAGAATCGATATGAGCGGGATCCCAAAACCCGGCGAACAAGCACTCAGTGAACGAGTGCTAGGATAGAGAGGTAAAGAGAGACGAAGCTGCGCAAAAAACCCATCATGTCTAAGGCCGTGAGGCTGGATAGTCGCATGTTTCGACCACCTCTGAAGGTGGGCATGTGTTCAAAAATCTGAACCCCATCATGTCTAAGGCCGTGAGGCTGGATGGTCGCATGTTTCGACCATCTCTAAGGGTGGGCATGTGTTCAACAAATCTAAAACCCATCATGTTTAAGGCCGTAAGGCTGGATGGTCGCATGTGAAGGGTACAATGTGTGTGTGGTGCATGTTATAGCAAAAATCTGGATAACCAATCGAGCACAAAGCAAAAGCACTAGCATAATTAATGAAAAGAGCCGTTGAGGAGGCATACAAGAATATCAAGTCAGCTCATTCAAAAGATAATCGGCAGCAAAGACAAATTAAGCAATACATTCATATTCCAATAGATCATGAATAATTGTCAAGAGTACATCGCTCAGATACAAAAAATAAAGTACAATAAAAGGAGCTAATCTAAGGAGGAGGAGTTGCGGTCGAGTCTGCATTGCTCTGATTAGCATTTGGCTCGGGCGAATGGCTGGTCACTGAGGTCGAGTCGCAAGCTTCATTGGACGTTGTCGAATAGACTCGGCCAACGCGGCCAGCATCGGAGCTGGAGGGGTTATACCATCAGACAGAGCATAAGTTTTCTTCAAGATGTCTGATCGAGCCAGAGTCCTTTCCAGCAGCCCTGACCACCACTCGTGCTCAGGCGGTAGATTAGGATCGCCTTGGAAGCTAGAAGGAACCTTAGGCAAGGCCTCCCAGATAGTCCCAGGGTCAAGCTGCTCGAAATCGTCCTCGGCGATCTGCTCGCCGGCCTTTTGAAGGGCGAACTGAAAACAGTCCACCCCAAAATCTTGTACCTCCTTTAAGAACTGTGGTGACTGCATATAGTCGGCCACCACTTGCTCACGATACTCGCAAAGGAAAAGCTACCCAGTGGTTGTGCCCCACATCATCTGTCTAGCTCGAAGAGCCGCAGCATCAGCGTAGCGTTTGCATTGGCTGGCGTGGGCAGCCCTTTCTTTGGCCAAGGTAGCCTCCAGCTCGACTCGAGCAGCCTCCGCCTGTACTCGAGCAGCCTCCACCTGCACTCGAGCAGCCTTCGACTGCGCTCGAGCAGCCTCCGCTTGTGTTCGGGCAATCCGCTCTTGGTCGAGCGCAGCCTCTTTCTCCTTCAGCGCGGTTTCTTTTTCGGCCAGCGCAACCTCCTTTACCGCGAGGGCGGCTTCTCTCTCCGCGAGAGCCTCATTCTTCTTTGTGAGCTATCCGTCAAGGGATTTAATCTGCTCGATGATTACCTGGATCATCTTCAAGCCGAATGAGATCGAGGATCTCGTCGGTGGGAGGAGGACAAGTCTTATGGGTGAGAAGACCACAGTGATGGAGAAGGTTTTCGTCCTTGAGAAGTGTTTCTGACGCAACGGTCTTAGAGCTCTAAGTATGGACCCGTTGGTTGAAAAGAGGATTTGAAAGAGGGGCCAAAGCCGCCTCTTGAGAAACTTCCTTCACCCAAAGAACAGAAAGCCAGGGGAAAGGAGCATCGGGCTGGACGAAGATGAATTTGTCACTCCACTAGGGTGATTGGAAGGGATATCATTAATGAAGTGAGCGCCATTACGGCTCTTCAAGTATAGGCCTCGACCCTGCTTAGAAGGGACATAGAAATAATGGAAAAAATCTAGGTCGAATCGACCTAAACGGACACGACAAAGGATAATAAAGGTGGTCATAAAACGGATGGCATTCGGGAGAAGTTGGTGCAGAGAAAGCCCAAACCATTCACAAATTTCAAGCAGGTTAGGGCACAGAGGAAAACGAAGGCCAAGTTTGAATTGGATTTCAAAAAAGGTGTAACAGTCCCTGGGAGGGTGGTCGTATTTATCGGAGGGAGAGGATCTATAGAACGACCAACCGATAGGATGACCAATCTTTTTGGTAGAATACCAATCGGTAGAAAGAGAAGTAGAAGCAGAGCGTTTTGTGGAAGTTCTGCGAGGGCTTTTGGTCGAGGTCTTGTTGGAAGGAGAGTTTGAAGCACCAGGCTGAGAAGAAGAAGGAGGAATGGTTGAGGAGGGAGTGGGCTGAGGAGAAATAACCTCGTCCACCTCTGGGTCGTCAAACTCGCCAATGGCAGGGCGACAACGGCGGAGGGGGATATTATCCATGGTATCCCCAGAATTATCAGAAACAACACGAGCAGTAAAAACGGTGGGGACGGTCTCGCCTGGGCGAAGAATCGAGAGGGGAACGGCCTCAAGTGCAGAGGGTAGTATTTGAACTGAACCAGATGAAGTGGTCGAAGAAGGAGATGGAGATGCAGGATCTGAAAAAAGGAAAACAAGAACAAAATCAAAAAAAGGAAAAAACTTGAGAGAAGGGCGAAACTACAGAGAATTAAGGCTCTACGTGGGGGATAATTTTGAAAAAAAAATTGAGAAGGAGAACAAGAATTTTAGAAGATTTTCGAAGAAAGAGAGAGCGAAATTCACAGGTGATTGACAAGCGAACACCAACACCCAACATACAAATTCAAAATATTCAATCAGCAAACTTCAAGACACCCAATTCAAGAAATTCAAAACACAAAATCTCAAATATAGGAAACGTAAATCAGGCAAGAAGCGACTTACTCATAATCGCAGATGCAAGATTTGGAAGAACTTGGAGATCGCAGGGGAGATCGCCGAAAAAATTAGGGTTCTGGCAAAAGGGGATGTTTAAGCACAGGAGAGTTTGAAATCCGCAAAGGTGGAAAAAATCGAAAGATTTCTCTAAGTGTGGAATTTATACTAAGGAAAATTAAAGGTTGGAAGATGAAGACCGTCGGATTAAAGCCAGATCTAACGACAAAAAGCATTAATTTGCACAGTACTCAAAATGGGCGCGTTATACGAGGAGGCGTTATCATTAAAAATGCCTGACAAGGGCGGCAGACGCGACGCGTGGCAGGAAAATAGGTGCAACAGAAAGGACGTATGGCAGATGACTTTATTTAAGGCCGGTACCCGACATCATGCCACCCAGGAGGGCGATAAGCGCAACTTCACTCTTAGATCGAGTCATTTAGACTCGACCAGAGTATGGGGGACTAGATGATATAGGATATTATATACCCCAAGCTAAACTGGTCTACTGAACCGGACGGAGGAGTCATACCATGAAGAAATTGAGTCGGGCAATGGGAAGATCGAGCAAAATAACCTGTCGACCAGTCAAACTGTCGACCACTCCATCGCTCGACCAAGTTAGCGATCGAGTAACCTTATCGACCTCAGCAGGTCGAGCATCTCGCGGACTCAATACTCAATAGATCGGCCTAGTCACAGACGCGTGTAAGAGCCTTCAACCGAATTCCAGGAGAATATTGATATGGGATATTATACCCACACGGTTAAACCGACTTACTGACCGGTCGAGGAAGTCAAGGACATCGAGCAGCTAACTAGTCGACCAACAAGGCTGTCGACCAAATGATCCTTCGACCAGGTGGACGAGCGAGCAGTTCAGTCGGCCTCGATAGGTCGACCACTTCGAGGACTTAACACCACGCTGATCGGCCTAGGCACAGGCGCGTGAAAGAGCCTCTAACTGAATTCCAGGAGAATATCTACCCCATGTGCAGGGGGACACGTGTCGAGAAGGCAGTGGTTGATAGCGATAACCACCTCTGACAGCCTACCCCATGTGCAGGAGGACACGCGTCCAAACGGGATTGGTGCAGGCGATAGTGGTGATGGCTACCTCTGGCACACGCGTATGGTGTGTACGGACAGACAGTTAGGGCAGACATCTCATTAATTCGGGCAGCCCTAGGTCAGGTATCTCACCCCTATATAAAGGGGGTGAGCCTTTCTTCTTCAACACGATCATACTATTGCTTACTCTTGAGAATTGATTGAACATACACTGATTTAAGCTTCGGAGACTCTTCACTGGAAAACCCCTCCGGTGTGAGAGTTCTTTGTAGGTGCACGACGTTCAACCAGCGAGAAGGAAGGCGATTATTCAAGTTCCAGTCGGTCGGGAAGTTTTGTGTTACCATTTGGCGTCGTCTGTGGGACTTTCGTCTGAAAAGGTGTGTTTGAAGCTCAGCTATGGCAGACGGAATTCCCAAAAACTTGTAGTCGACGTTCGATGATGCTTGGACGACGACCAGGCCGTTGGGACAAGGTCCTCCTCTGGGTTTTTCTGGCCCATCGCAGACGCCGATCACTCTTGCACCTGTGCTCCAAGGTGTGGGAGCGACGACAGCGATTCCCGGAGGAGATCCCGGCTCCCATCGTGCCCAAGAGATGCGCGCAACAGCTACGGCAGCGATGCCGCCGCCGCCGTCCCAAAATCCAACGGTGACGCAACCAGGAGGAGCGGGAGCACAACCAGGAGGAGCGGGAGCGCAACCAGGAGTAGTGGGGACGCAACCAGGAGGAGCGGTGGCGCAAGAAGGAGCACCGCCGCGAGCAGCGGTTCAGGTCCCCGACCAACATGTGGTGATGACCAGGCAGTAGATGCAACAGATGGTGGCGGAGGCAGCTGCACAGGCGGTGCAACAAGTCACAAACAATCTCTCTCGGGCTTCCACGATGCCAAACACTGTTGCGGGGTCACGCCAAAATGCGGAGGAAGATGAATCTAGCTATGGCGGAGGCGGTCCCCCACATGACCGGGAGATGGAGAGAATGGCAGAACAGCTGCGTCAATTGCAGGCTAAGGTGGATGGTCGAATGGAGAGACGTGCTCGAGGACACTTGCTCTCGGCGGACATACTAGCAGCGCCCTTGCCATTTAGTTACAAGGATACTAACTTGGTGTTCGATGGGACTTCTGACCCGTCGAGGCACGCGAGAACATTCGAAAATATGGCTGTGTTGCACGGATATAAAGACCCCGTTAGTTACAGGGCATTTCTATCGAGCCTCAGGGAAGACGCCCTCGATTGGTTCCAGCAACTTCCTCCGGGCTCGATCACAGACTTTGTGGATTTCGTGGAGAAGTTAACGAATCAATACTCAAGCACGGTGGCTCAGGAGAAGACGTACTTAACCCTGATGGCGATGAGAAAAGGCGAGAAGGAGTCACTGCGCAAATACGTAGCCCGATACAATCAAGTTTGTTTGGAAATTCCGTCGGCGGTCGATGAGGTCAAGGCGGGAGGATTGATTAGGAGTTTGCAGGCAGGACCATGTCGGACCTCTCTGGCTAAGACCCCTGCTCATACATATGATGAGGTGTTGAGGAGGTGTAGGAAATATATTAATCTCGAGGAGACTGAGGCGGAGTTTGCAAAACTAGAGGAGTTGGGTCGAGGGGAGTTGAAGAAGGAGAAAGCAGTTTCGCCTAAGAGGAGAGCCTCGCCCAGGAGAGAGGGGCGAGCTAAACAGGATCTGGGACGAGAGGACAGATGGAAGGACCGGCTTATCTCTGGGGGGAAAAGATTCCATGATTATACCCTGTTAAACGCAAAGGTAGCCGAGGTCTTAATGGCTATGAAAAAAGGGATAGATGGGAAAGAGGTGACATGGCCGAGGTCGAGGTTCGAAGGGCCAACTCAACCGAAGTCGAGGAGATATTGCCGCTTCCATAAAGACTATGGCCATACTACTGAGGATTGCCGACACCTGAAAGACGAAATCGAGCGCCTTATTCGAGCAGGGCATCTCAAGGAGTTTGTCTATCAGGATAAGGTGAGGGGGAAGGAGAAGAGGAGGTGTCGGGAGCAATCGGTGGAGAGGAGCGATGAAGATGATGATGTGGATCCACAAGGTGGTCGAGAGGGTCGAAAAAGAGATGAAGGGAAAAGGAGGCAAGGAAGTAGGGAGCGAGAGAGACAAGGAGATGGAGGCCAAGTGAAGAGGGGCACGATATATATGATTTCAGGAGGACCAATGGATGGAGACTCGAATAATGCGAGGAGGGGTCATGTTCGAGCAATAAAGAGGAAAAGGGAGGAGGTGGGTATCACAGCCCGAGTACCAGAAATTAGTTTTCGAGCAGAGGATGCAGCAGGGGTGGTGATACCTCACAATGATGCCTTGGTGTTTACGGCGGAAGTTACTGGTTTTGATGTGAAAAGGGTGTTTATAGACACAAGAAGTTCGGTCGATGTCATGTTTATGATTGCTTTGTGCAAATCAATCGGGAGTTGAATGTGGAGCTAACGCCGGTGGCTACGGCCTTGTATGGCTTTAATGGCGGGGAAGTTATGCCAATGGGAGAAGTGAGTCTATCTGTAGCACTGGGAAAAGGAGCGACCCGGAAGGTTCGAATGGTGAGATTTGTGGTTGTAGGAGCTGAATCGTCCTACAACATCATAATGGGGAGAACGAGCTTGAACGCGTTCCAGGTGGTCGTATCCACGTACCACATGACGATCAAGTATTCGGTGGGTGAAAACGTTGGTGAGGTCACCGGGGATCAGCTTACCTCGAGAAGTTGTTACCAGACCAATATGAGCAACAACAAACAGCTAGCAAGAAGGCAGGCGCGTCCTAAAGAAGAGGAGGTTAGTCGACCAGGAGGATCGAGATAAAAGGAGGAAGGACGCAAGTTGGAGAAAAGGAAGGAGAAGGTGGATATCCAGTCAGGTGGCGAAGTTGAAGAGATACAGATGGCCGAGGGATATAAAGAGAGAAAGTTTCGAATTGGGAAAGAGTTGGAGGAGCCAGTGAGGTCGAGGTTGATTAATGTGATAAGGGAATTTGCGGATGTGTTCGCATATTCGACGGAGGAGTTGACTGGCATCAGGGCCGATGTTATCGAACATCGGTTGAACATCGACCTCACTGTAAGGCCGTTGAAGCAAAAAAGAAGACATCACGGGGCAGAAATGGATAAAGTAATCGAGTTGGAGGTAGAAAAGCTCCTAAGGGCAGGCCATATCAAGGAGATCCAATTCCTGGAGTGGTTATCGAACACGGTGATGGTCTCAAAGTCAGAGGGAAAATGGCGGATGTGCATAAATTTTCGGGATTTGAACAAAGCATGCCTGAAGGATTTATATCCACTACCCAGGATCGACCAGCTGGTCGACTCCACGGTTGGATGTGAGCTACTCAGCTTAATGGATGCGTCCCAGGGTTATCATCAAATCCCTCTGGCGCGAGAAGATTGGAAAAGAGTCAGTTTTGTGACGAGCCGGGGAACCTACTGTTATGTGGTAATGCCTTTTGGCCTAAAGAATACAGGAGCAACATATCAGAGATTGGTGGATAAAATTTTCAAGGAGCAGCTGGGGAGGAACATGGAGGTGTATGTGGACGATATGTTAGTGAAAAGCAAATAAGAGACCGATCACGTGAACGACTTGAAAGAAACATTCATGACCCTCCGGAAGTATGGAATGAAGTTGAATCCCGCTAAGTGCTCGTTTGGGGTTAAATCTGGGAAGTTTTTGGGCTATATGGTCACAAAGAGAGGAATCGAGGTCAACCCGGAGAAAGTAAGAGCGGTGGTCGAGATGCAACCCCCCACGAAGGTGAAGGAGGTGCAGATCCTAATTGGTCGAACAGCAGGCCTGAGCCGTTTTATCTCTAAGGTGGCGGAGAAGAGTGGGCCCCTGTTCAAAACACTCAGAAAAAGCTCGAAGTTCCAATGGACAGAAGAAGCCCAGAAGGCATTCAAGGAGTTGCAGAAGGTGCTGGTCGACCTACGCTATTGGCAAAAAGGGTGCAAGGAGAGGACTTGGTGTTATATGTCTCCATTGGTGAGACGGCAGTGAGCTCGGTGTTATTGCGGGAGGAAGGGACAACCCAATTCCCTATTTATTACGTGAGTAAGGTGATGCAGGGGGCGGAGAGAAGGTATTCGGAGATCGAAAAAGGGGCCTTGGCAGTGGTCGTTACTGTCAGAAAGCTGAGACCATATTTCTTGGGACATGGGGTGAAAGTCCGGACGAATATGCCATTGGGGGAAACGCTAGGTCGACCCTCGGTGTCAGGTCGATTGGTCAAGTAGGCAGTCGAGCTGAGTGAATACACGATTATCTATGAGCCGAGGAGGGCAATTAAGGCTCAGGCACTGGCCGATTTTATACAAGAAGGGACGAAGGAAGGAGAGGAGTCTGAAGGGGTGTGGCAGGTGTTTGCAGATGGATCGGTGTCAAGGGCCGGGGGTGACCTAGGCATCGTGCTTATATCGCCAAAGGGGGATAACCTCGAGTTTGCAGTTAAAGTGGCGTATCAGGTATCAAACAATGAGGTGGAGTACGAGGCAGTCATCAAGGGACTTAAGTTGGCTCTAGCCGGGGGAGCTCGAAAAGTGCAGATACACTCAGACTCACAATTAGTGGTGGGCCAATTTCAAGAAGATTTTGTGATCTAGGAGGAAAGGATGGTGAGGTATGTGGAGGAGATGAAGAAACTACAGGAGGAGTTCGATTCATTCGAGTTGATCCAGATACCTCGAGGAGAAAATGGTCGAGCGGACTTATTGGCTAAGGTGGCACAAAATCTGGTAGATTGCAAGAGCAGGAGTGTGACCCTGCTACATATGGAGAGGAGCGCGGTCGAGAAGGAGGTGGCCAAAATAGAAGAGGTCGAGGATTGGAGGGCACTGATAACCAAAGAATTGAAGGAAGGAGCCGTCAAAGTAATAAGGAGATTCTTTGAGCATGGAGGAATCCTATACAAAAGATCGCATGCTGGCCCACACTTGCGGTGTGTGACCAGAGAAGAGGGACGTTATGTGCTAAAAGAGATCCACGAGGGAAGCTGCAGCAACCATAGAAAAGCAGGTTCTTTGGTGGCGAAAGTTCTAAGGGCAGGATATTTTTGGCCGACAATGAGGGAAGATGCAAAAATGATGGTGCGAAGATGTTTGCAATGCCAGAAGCATGGCCCGCTTGTCCACCAACCGGCCGAAGCAATGACAGCGATGAGTTCTCCCATTACATTTGCCCAATGGGGGATCGACCTGGTCGGGCCCATGCCTCAGGGAACTGGACAGAGAAAGTTCTTAATTGTGGCGTTCGATTATGTTACGAAGTGGGTGGAGGCTGAACCTTTGGCAAAGATCACAGAAGAGAAAGTAATACATTTTCTGTATAACAACATATGCTGCAGGTTTGGGGTTCCTAAAATACTGGTGTCGGACAACGGGACACAATTCAATGGCAAGCGGATTCGGGCATGATGCGAGGACATGAAAATCGAGCAGCACTTCGCTTCAGTCGCACATCCGCAAGCCAATGGGCAGGTCGAAGTGACCAACAGGATCATACTGAACGGTCTAAAAACAAGATTGGAGAAGGCATCGGGAGCATGGGTAGATGAACTTACTTCGGTGCTATGGGCATACAGAACAACACCTCGATCGACCACAGGGGAAACACCGTTCAGTATGGTCTATGGAATGGAAGCTCTGTTACCGGTGGAGGTCGAAGTTCAATCCCAGAGATCGAGCACGTATGATCGAGAACAGAATGAACATTTGATGATGGCAGCGCTCGACACAATCGAAGAGCTTCGAGAAAAAGCCTCAATCAGAGTCGAGGCATACAAGCAAAGGATGCGGGCAGCGCATGATAGGAAGGTGAAGGTACGAAGATTCCAAGTGTGTGACTTGGTGTGGAAAAGAGTCGATGTGTTGAAACATGTCGGAAAATTAGAGCCGAACTGGGAAGGACCATATCTGGTCAAAAAGGTCCATGCTGGAGGGGCATACTCGTTAAAGGATGCTGAAGGAAAATCTCTAGCCAGGTCATGGAATGTGGCTAACCTGAAGAAATATTATGCTTAAAATTTTCTTTTTACTCATAGTGCAACTCACTAGCACCAATGTAACAAACTTCTTTGCTCGATAATCAATGAAATGGCGTATTGGAGTTTCTACAATTTACTATTTATTGAATTATTTTTATAGCTGGAATCCTTGGATTAACCTTGATTATAAGTTATATGTGAAAAATCCATCACGATTAAGGTCATGAGGCTGGATGGTCGTATGTAACCACCACCCCTTTAAGGGTGGGTATGCGCTCGAAGGAAAATCCATTATGATTAAGGCCATGAGGCTGGATGGTCGTATGTAACGACCACCCCTTTGAGGGTGGGCATGCGTTCGAGGGAAAAAATCCATCATGATTAAGGCCATGAGGCTGGATGGTCGTATGTAACGACCACCCCTTGGAGGGTGGGAATGCGCTCGAAGGAAAAATCCATCATGATTAAGGCCATGAGGCTGGATGGTCGTATGTAACGACCACCCCTTTGAGGGTGGGCATGCGTTCGAAGGAAAAATCCATCAGGATTAAGGCCATGAGGCTGGATGGTCGTATGTAACAACCACCCCTTTGAGGGTGGGCATGCGTTCGAAGGAAAAATCCATCACGATTAAGGTCATGAGGCTGGATGGTTGTATGTAACGACCACCCCTTTGAGGGTGGGCATGCGCTCGATGGAAAAATCCATCATGATTAAGGCCATGAGGCTGGATGGTCGTATGTAACGACCACCCCTTTGAGGGTGGGCATGCGCTCGATGGAAGAATCCATCATGATTAAGG